CAAGTATTTTTCTAAATCTTACAATTGAGTCCACGACACCCTTTATGAAATTAACTACATTAAGTACATGCGAAGCAATTTACTTGCACTTTATGTGTATAAGAGAACGTATATGTCATAAAAGAACAAATACTTTTTCTAAATCTTACAATGAGCGTGAATTCTGTTCACGAAACCGTTTGTGAAATAAACTACACTTTGAAATTCTATAATCCTCGTTCTCTAAAAAGAATGAACGCTACTGTAAGCAGATCATTCTTCCCCTATAATTTTCTTTTTTCTCCACTGCTCTAGCGTATCGGGGAGGGTCGGTTGTTACAGTAGCGACCAATAAAAATCGTTACACTTGAACTTCTCCGACGATTTCAATTAATGTACTCCCGTTAATGCGGAATTAACGCATTTCTGCTCTCCGTTCAAGGTTCCTTTCGATGCGCGAGACGCGTAAATGCACGGAGGGCCTTATCGTCGATGCATCGGTTTGGCGCTCGCTGGTTGGAAATGAAATTAGTCGGCAGCTACACGAGTATAATCGTAATGGGGCTCAACAGCCTCGTAGGTGCCGATAGAGCGCAAGAAAGGCAACGACCTCGAGGTACGATTTGCAAGCCGTGACGTAACAACTATGGTTTTTATAATGAGAGATAACTGAAACGCGTACTCGAACTAAATACAATACACTTACTGCGACGTTACGCCTTCATCGGGTATGAGACATATCCGAACAAAAGAAAGAACGACGAAAAAAGAACATTTGTAAATTTAATCGGACTCTATAGACAACGAGGCGAGCTAATAACAGGTCTTCATTGTTACGAGCTTCTATGCATTATGGAATTAAATATAGAGCGAGGAACAAAGAAAATTACCGTGTGTACGTCTCGTTACGAACCTTACAACTGAGAAAGTCATCCCCGTTTATCTACATTCAAAACATTCCTCTGACTCCCCCCCCCCCCCCCCGCCGCAAAGATTCTTCCTATAACTTGTTGGTTACAAGTTACATCCTCTAATTTGGTAAACAACGCTAGCGTAACCTATACGGTTTTAACCGACGCTCAGCTGTATACTTTACGCTCGCGCGACATACTTGACCATAATAAACAAAGCACCTAGCAATCCTAGCATACAGGTTATCTGCGAGTCGATTATCGAGAAGGCGTTACGAATAACATTGTGAAACATAACGGCAACGACGTAACAATCGGTGAAGTCATTCGATGAGCCCTGTGTGTAATTGTTATTACGCAGATTTTATGCATTTATGGTACACGAACAAACGTGTTAAACATATTAAAAAAATAGTGCACTTATTGAAAGTCGAAATTGGAATATTATTATTATTGATTGTAAAATATATTCAACATACATTACGTATATTTTTGATAGTTTCATAGGAGTTTCACTGTTATTGTAAATGATAAATTATTGGGCACAGGGCCGGCCATATGGGGAGGGGGGCGATTGAGGGTGCCCAACATGATCAAGAATTAAAGAAACTCAAGAAACTATGTACTCTTGCGCATTGAACGAGTTATTTCTAAATGTATTAACTGTATTAAAACTTCTCTTTACGTTGTCAGTTACTATAGCAAGTGCTGAGCGTTCTTTCAGCAAATTAAAATTAATAAAGAATTATCTTCGGTCAAGCATGTGCGCAGAACGTTTAAATGGACTTGCTATATTAAGCATCGCAAAGAAATTGCAAAGAATTGTAATTTTTCTGAAGTAATTAATATATTACCAAAAACGAAATTATTATTATTATACGTTATTAATAATGCATTAGTTGCATTAGTAACATCGGTTTGTATTTTTTTGTTTACTTTAGAAAAAATTTAGGCCCGCAAATGGTTTCTTGCACTCAGGCCCCTTTATAGAGAACGCCGGCCCTGTAAATGCATAAAATCCGCGGAAAAGCAATTACACACCTGCGAATACGACTAAACCTGATCGATATATCCTCTCGAACAAGGAAACATTCGCCGCCGTCAGTCTTTCGTCATCAATGACTCAAAAAGGGAGCGACTACGGTTACAATCAAATGTTTCAGAGTTGCGATTACGATTACAATCATAATTGCAAATTTTCTGCGATTACGATCGTATTTTCAGGTGTTTTCAGACACAGAAATGTTGTACCTGAAAACCGACTTCAGATTCCCGTTCCTCGTCCCAAAAAACTTAGAAAACCATGCTTTCGTCAAAATCAAAAATTTTTAAATGTTACCCTATCTAGGCTCTAGCCTATTGACACGAATTATTTCAACTGAACATTTTTAATTTTTAATTTTTAATTTTTAATTTTGACGAAAGCATGGTTCTCTAGGTCTTTTTGGGGGCGAGGAACACGAATGTGAGGAACACTGTAGTCGGTATTGAGGCAAAGAATTTCTATGTCCGAAAACACCTGAAAATATGATCGTAATCGCAGAAAAATTTGCAATTATCATTGTAATCGTAATCGCAACTCTGAAACATTTGATTGTAACCGTAGTCGCTCCGTTTTTGAGTTTGTGATTTAGATTGTAATCGTTTTATGCATTTACAGGGCCGGCCTTCTCTATAAAGGGGCCTGGATGCAAGAAACCATTTGGGCCCCTAAATTTTTTCTAAAGTAAACAGAAAAATACAAACACGAACATATATTACTAATGCTTCGTGGTTGCATGGGAATCTCGTACGTTACGTCGACGATTGGAAGTGGCTCTAGTGCCATTTCTTCTGCTTGATATTTAAAAAGATAACCTAGGTATGCTCTTCTATTTTTAGAAGAGACGTTTATGGCGCCTCCCATGGGCGTGGTTTATGACACTCTTCTACCGCGCGTGCAATAGTGCAGTCAAACTATTCCTATTAAACCTATATACTATATTTAATTAACTTAAAACGCAATTTCCTCTTTTATAAACATGATCGAACGTTCGACTCACCGATATTTACGAGTTTTACGCCGTCAGCCTCGATGGCCTGCAGGGCCGTGGAAACGTTCTCCAGATGATGATGCTGATTGGCCGGCCTGGGGTTCCATCGAGGCAGACGTCGTTTGGTGAGGACTTCGACGAGAGCGCAGAGTCGCGTGCCATCTCTAAAGTCCTCCGATAGATCGATCACGGGACCATCGGCGACGTCCGCAGCTTTCAAATGCTCATTTACCCAGTTTCTGAACGTATTCGCCTGTATTTCCACCCAGAGGTCCTCGTGGCCCTTGATGGGCATCCCTTTCGCAGCCGTGCCCTCCGCGGAACGGGCCACCAGGCCCACCAGTTGCTCCGGTCGTAATTGCTCGGTCAATTCCATTTTCGCTTCTTTTTTTTTTTTTAATTACAACAGTCGTGATACAGCTTCATGCTACAATCGAACGTTTTTCGACGCGAAATTATACAACTGACGATATTCGACAAAAGATATTCGACTAATACTCGAGAAGGCAGGGCCGGCGGAAGGCAGGTTCAGCGCGTTCGCCGGAACCCGACCTCGCGTTTTAAAAGGCGCCGCGGTCTACGAAAATTACTGAATTAAATGTTACCGATTTTGATTAACTTTTTACAGACTGATGATACTATTAACAAATGAAAGCAATTTTTTCTGAGATGCAAGACATTTTCTTAGTAGCGATGATTAAATCGAAAGGAGCGACAAAAATCATCAAAGTACAGGGTGTCCGAAAAATGTTGTAACACCTTGAAAGGGGTGGTTCAGGAGGCGATTTCAAACGACTTTTTCCTTAGCAAAAATGTTCTCCGAGATTTCTTTAAGGAGATATTAACGGAAAACATCGACCAATCAGAGCGCGCGTATACCGTTGGAGCGGCCGCGGTAGCGAAGGCTACGCGCTAAACGGTCGCGCTCATACGCTACCGCGAGCGCTCCATCGGCATACTCGCGCTCTGATTGGTCAGTGTTTTCCGTTAATATCTACTCAACGAAGCCTCGGACAACATTTTCGCTAAGGAAAAAGTTGCTTCAAATCACCTCCCGAACCACCCCTTTCGAGGTGTTACAACATTTTTGGGACACCCTGTATAGCATTTGTAAATAAATAATTCCTGGCTGTAAAATTTTAAGTATAGGATTTAAATGTGAATTCAGGCCTTGCAAAATTTTTGAACCCGGCCCCGCAAAAGATCACGCCGGCCCTGCGAGAAGGTTACACCGAGAAAGGGATCGCTACCAGACTGGCTTAATTTCATTAGAACTCGAAGTGTTGTCGATAAAATAATTTTCGAAGGGATAAGGATTATTCTGATTTTCAAATCAATTAGAATTCGAATTAGAAATTCTCGTCTTCGAAGTCAAGCTAAGGTTAGCATTTCTGGCAATAGAATGCTAAGAAAGCATTCGACTCGAGTTGCTGGTAGATAGTATCTACTAGATACCAGTAAAAAAAGGCCTCGAGTGCAAAGGGTTAAGAGCCACCGATCCATAAAGGTAATTCATCGCGAACCCTGGGGTCAAGTGGTCTGATAAATTGATCCTCGGCGTGTGCTATGTTCTTATTTAAAAACGAATTAAGCTACAATGCCAGACGTAATTGCTGCCGCGGGTGCACGAGAATCTTGTGTTTTTCTGAGACAAGAATACTTATGGTTGCGAAATAAATCTACAGAATTTATTTTCCTAATACGCTAGATTCCTATTGCCGTACTCTATAATCTGAAACTCTTTAGCGAAAACGACGAATTACGCATAGAAAAATGGAAATTTCAGACGGAGCTGGTGGCCGCCATTTTGAAAGAGAGACAACGAAAGAAAGAAAGAGAGATCCGAGAGTTCCCGGTGCGTCAGACACGCTAGCGCAACGAAAGTTTCTTATTTTCGACTTTTTACAAGTGAAAATTGCACTGGCGCACTCGTGTTATTTTTCTAAGCAAAATGATACCAAACACGACATAATTTCGTGCGTGTTTGCGTATTTTACCAAAAGAAACAAATCATTATATTTTTAAAATAAACAAATGAATTTCTTCGAATAATTACAAACGAATGAGTTAAAAAGAAGAAAACCAGCTCGTCGAAAATGAAATTATTTGTATTATAGGGAAGACCTCCACCCCCCCCACCACCACCACTCAAATTTCTCAAATTCATTGAAATTCCCTCGTGGCGCCAAATTTCCTCGCTACGGCACCGTACGTGTCGGATGTACACGGAAACGGTGTCTGAAACCTCTCGATTCTCTTGGATTCTCTCCTAGTTAATCGCGATACTCTCGTTGCTCGCGAAGATTAGTTTGTTAAAAAAAATTTCACACGGTGAAAGTGTCTACGCGAACCCGGACACCTGTGCCTTGCGCGTCCCCTTCTGGTGCATCATACGTTTCGCATCCTTTAAGATGGAAATCTAGCGCTTCGCCGTTTACATTCGACTTCATTAAATCCTGTACAGTTACGAACCCGGAGAAAGGGAGGAAGAAAGCGTAGAAATTACGCTTCGAGTCAGCTAAGCTTTTCTAATGTTTCAAGAAAATCGAGGAAACTTCCGCGAGAAGAAAGAGAAGCGAAAATATTAAAAAGCGGTCGAAATTGGTCGAAATTCAATGCGAGCAATAGTTGCAGTTCAACTATTCCTATTGAACGTACAGTGGGTGTAGAAAATATTCGTACACTGATCAATTTCCAAAAAGACTATGTGGACTTAGAATTTATTAACTTATTTTTTGTAAGCAATGATACTCCACATATTCTCGGAAATCTCTAGAATAAATAGTTTACAAAACAAAATAGGTATTTATCCAAGTTACGAAATTAACAAGAGAAAAAAACAATTAATCGATAGAAATATCGAAGCAATAAGTATTCGTACAACTGTTTAATTTGTTAAATTTCATTAAAAAAAAAAGAAATTTACATTAATTTACAAGTATATAATACTTCCTTCGTGGGATTTCCTTTTTGATATTATAATTATTGCAACTCTACTAAGCGTTAAATTGACTAAATTATTAGTTATTCGAAGTAGGATCTTTTTCAATTTCTCTATCAGAGCCATTTGTAAGAGTACTTTCCTGGAAATTTGATGTTGTCTAATTCGTATAATAATAATTCATATAATATAATAAACTAATGTGTTTACGTTACAAACTCTACTGTAAATGGTTCGTCATAAGAATCGCACAAATACTTATTGCTTCTATACTTTTACCCATTTTTCGCATTTCTTTGTTAATTTCACAAATTCTATTAACTAGTAAATGTTGTTTGGTCGATATCTATCTTAGAGACTTCCGAGAATATGTAAAATATTATTGATTATAAAAAAAGAAGTTAAGAAACTACAATTTTACGCAAAAGTTTTTTTGGGAAATTGATCGGTGTACGAATACATTATACACCCACTGTATATACTATTGGGTTGTCCGGAAAGTCCATGTAGATTTTTAATAGGTGGTACGGGCCTGAATATATCGATGTGGTTGAAAACAAATAACATGCATACATCCCTTAAAAGGTGGAAAGGCTGTGGAACAACATGGCACCTATGTAATTCAATAAATATATGTATATTAAAATTCAAACGTGTTTTTGAATTTTTCTTAGAAATTGGCACGAACTTTCTGGACAACTTAATATATTTAATTAGCTTGAGACGCAATTTCCTCTTCTATAAACATGATCGAACACGTACGACTCACCGGATTTGATCGCGAGCGAATCCAGAGATGGATAGAATTTTATTCGAACGACGGACGAATCGAAAACACAGCAGTGTTAAATTACAGAAATGGGCAAAACCTTAGGCTTCAAATAAATCTGAAGTTTACTGATGTGTTTGTCTCGTTTCTTTGGAAAATGTTCGAAAGAGACAAACTCGACGAACTTCAGATTTATTCGAAGCCTAGAGTTCTGCTCATTACTGTTAAATTGTAAAAGCCTGTCGATAAATGCGTAAATACAGTCCATATACTATTTCTAATACATAAAACGATCCTAGTTAAACTATTAATTTCATCCAGCCGCGTACTATACAGGGTGGTCCACCTAAGTAAGGCCACCTAAATATCTCCTTTAATTTTGTGGGGGTACAAAAAAATATTTTGTATGCTGAAATGCTTTTGAATAGTTTAAAAAAACCGTTCTATTGCAAAAGATATTTCTTTTTTCTAGGGTAATTTTTTTCGGAGTTTACAAGATGCGATAAAAAAAATTATACATTTATACGCAAGAAAACATCGATAATGTTTTAAACCCCGAAAAAAATTACCCTAGAAAAAAGAAATCTTTTGCAATAGAATGATTTTTTCAAACCATTCAAATAGCAAACAAAATATTTTTTTGTACCCCCACAAAATTAGAGGAGATATTTAAGTGGCCTTACTTAGGTGGACCACCCTGTATACTATCAACGTTTATTTATACGAATTATTTCCCTTGGAAATCCGGTATCCCAACATCTATTTCTCCTAGTTTTGGTTTCGGACACCGTGTACATTTACGTGACATCCACTCCACGTGCCTAAAGGTATAGCTACGCCGCGCTATGACATCACTGTTGTCACAAAACCTCGTCCAACCGGCGAAGCTTGCGCAAGTGCGTAAAAATTTTCTGCCGGACGAGAGCAAACTTTGCCGGACGATTATCGCCCTCCTATAGATCGCGATCGCGATTTTATCGTTCCACGACGCGTCGTCGGTGCAACAAAACCAATGACCGATGTTATCTCGACGATTCACGGATGTACATCGTCGCGAACAGATTTCAAAGGTGAAACTTACCGAACGCCACGCTCGGAACGTCGTATGGTGTAACTTATGACTTATGACATTCGGAACGATCCTTGTCGTTCGGACTGTCGCGATAAACAAGACGATTAGAATCGTTCGCGAATCGAGCATGAATAAAACGAACGACGACGCGACGAGAATCTATGGCGAAAATGTGTCTAACTATTCCTGTAATACGAAGAAAACACTTCGAGAACGTTTCGCGGAAAACTTCGATAAAGCACTGATAGATGCCGGCGTGTAGACACTGGCACGCGCGAAATTTTCTTTCGCTTGCACTTTCACTCCATTTTTTCAACGATCAACCGTTCGACTCTTCGTCGGCGTACCGACGCCTCTGGAGCGCCATCGGATATTACCGTAATCAATCTTCTCGAACGATTTAATAAGAAGCTAATCATAAATCGGTTGAATTTCTTTACGACGATAAAATGTTCGTTTTTGGAAGGAAAGTCGCGACAAGAGATGTCGAGGATCGTCGTCGTCGATTGGTCAATGGTCGACGAATTAGCCAATCGGAATTCTCGTCGAAAGGGCGCGATTTGGGGTGGATTTGTTCGAAGAATGAGGAAAAGAGAGGTATTTTAAAAATTCACGTCGGACGACACGAGGACGTACGACTCGGTCGTGTATAAATGCATCGAATGCGAACTATCTTGTAACTTGCACTCGCGCGATCGTCGATGTAAGAATGTTCGGCATGTGAACTGATATTTACGTCGGTCGTTCTCTCTCGAGGAGCTTCTCGAACAAGGAATCCTTCTCTTACTTCTCGGAGTTGACGCGATTTCCCTTTCGATAGAGCCCGATTTTCACTCGTCTACGAAGCCAGAGCACTTTGGTGTTGCGGCGAGCTATGCGAGAAACGCCATTTTTGGACGTCACAGGTTTCCGATTCCGAATCGCGTCGTTGTCGACGATCGTCGTTCGAAGTACGTGAGCTCACTGAACCGACATGAAAAATTCCCCTTCTTCGCGCTATGCTAGCAGGCCCGTGCCTTGGACACCTGTGTGAGTGGGGGCCGGTCGGGTTTACATATGAATGGAAGGGGTAAGTGCGTACATGAGAGAACGCGTGGTTTCGTGGTGTGTGTGTCTCTCTAGTTCCGCTGATAGGTGGAGCCACAATACAAACAAATGGAGCGGCATCTAGCAGCGCACCGTGGAAACTACTCTACGACCAGTGATCTTCGACAATACATACATGTACTGCTCAAGCTATAGTGTAGTCCGTAACCAACATCTCCCATGCCAAAGTTACGAGTAAGCAGTTGTGCGCAAGCGCTACAGTCAATGGGCGATAGCAGTGGGGAAAGGCGCGAATTAAAATTTTGGACGGTTTGCCGAACTACTCTTTGAGTATATAGAAATGTATATAGAAATGTATATTGAGTATATGTCTATATAGTCAAAGGAACTACTCTTCGACCATTGGTCAAAGCTGCAGTCAGCCTGTCATCGAGATGGAATTTATGCTATAGTTCTCGAATTTGACGCATGCAAATTAGCGTCAAGTCTCACTTTTGGTATGAAGATGGTTACGCTCTGCTCAGTGTTGTTCAGTGTATAAAGAGTAGGCTTGACCAGTCCATGTATATATGGTCGAAGCCAATGATGGACATTCGTGGGATTTTTCGATGAATTCCTTTCTGCACATGCGTAAGCCGACGTCACAGCTACTTGTCGTCTGCTACCATGCATGTATCCGAACCGCCAGAGGAGGTGCATTTAAGGGGCCTGTGCAATTTTCCCGCGTTTTTAACGGACAAATTAAGTACAAGAATGTGAGTGTTCGTGAGTGTAATATTAGGGAAAATTAAAAAAAAATGGATAATGAACCGCAGCTGTCCACGTCAGGAATCATCGAGGACAAGAAGAGGACATTATATTTTGTTCCTTACTGGGATCCAATGGTACCCTAAATTCTAAGTAAGTGTGTACAGCAGTGAGGACTCCAACGCTCGCTCCAATGCGCATGATCAGCAAAAATCCCACGAATGTCCATCACTGTCTACACAACAAACTTGATATCAGCCAATTATTAGTGTACGAATCAACAATTAGACGTTGAATTATGAATAATGACGTAAAATTACATTTATATGCTGAGAAAAGTAGAGAATTTATGTTTTGAATATTTCATTTTTATAGCGCCATGTAGCGGCGCGATGTTGGAACAATTTCACGACCAACTTTCTTATTATGCAGATCACTTCAAAATGAGATCACATTTTTGTCGTCATTAGTTTGGAACATTTTCAATAATTCTTCATGCTCAATTACTGTCGCAAATTTTTTAATCATGTAATCACTTAGTATACCTTTCATTGGTAAGTATATGATTTTACCTTTGAACTTATTTGTTGTTTATATATAAATTTATTTACTTCAGAAGTGAATATGATCGCATTTTGTACTAATCCATCAGGCTTTAATATAGTAGTAATAAGATTTTCTAAAAGAATTACATCATGTACAGCATCGTGGAAATTTTTCCTTCATTGCTTAGTACATTTCCATTTAATTTCTTTCTATTTCTCTCTATTTTACATTCCCCTTTAATTTCCTCTACTTCCCAGTACATCCCTTCGTGTCTCGGTACGACTCCCCTTAAAATTCCCTCTTCCCAATTTCCAACATTGTTGAACCTTTGAGCGGCATAAACGATAAGTGAATGAAATATTAGTTGTCATCAACTAGGCGCGAGTATGCCCCTGTTAGATATCAAGTTAACCAGTTTGTAGGCTCGGTTGCTACATCGTTGGCGCAGATGTGCCCCTAGTATCCGGCAATCTATATCAACATTCCTCTTTTCGGTTGCCATCTCCTAGGCGCAGGGATGCCACAAATGTTACGACGTAATAACATAATAAGAAATGTCGGAGCTCAATGATAATTTACGATTTCTATCAAATCGAAGATCATTCCAAAAGTTCATGAAAAATAGTTCTTTATTCCATTTACGACAGAATCGTACGATTGTATAATCGAAAAAGACACTCGAGGGTTACCTCACGGTACGAACTATGATAAATGAAACTTTTGTACATGTCGTTACGTAGGTACATATGTAAATATGGCATGTGATAACGAAGTATGACTAACGTGGGAAAGCACCCAAGGATCTTAGGCTAACTCTCAACTCGTGCTCATTCCGGCACCATTCTTTCACTTGTCCGAACGAAACAGGCCATCTGCTTGTTTTTATACGTTCACATTTTTGCCACAAAGTTTGCCCGCGTTTTAAAAATAAATTCACCAGCGAGAGAAAGCGAACATTCGTTCACGAATCACGATATCTATTGAACTACGAACTGTCTCAAGAATACTCCGAATTAATCGATCGATTAGTACTTCATCCTAGACTTTCCTAATGGCTTGGTTATCCATAAACAGCCCCCCATTAAAAGTACGAGCATAGTCCATTCCTCGCCTGTGAAGCACAACGATCGAAACCTCTTCCACGTAAATTAAACCTGAAACTAAAACCTATATCTACTTTTTATACACAACGTTTCCGTATAACCGTTAGTCGCGTTTATTTGCATTTCGAAGCGTATTCCTTTCAGGTATCCTATAGTCAAACGAATCACGCCAAGGAAAATCCAAGCACGTCCTCTAGCGAGTAGTCGAACAGCCTTAAATCGTGTTTGTACAAATTCGCCAACTTCCGGAGCTGCTTATACGTTAAAGTAGAATAATATTTCTCTAGTTTTTTCGCAGTCGGCTCGCTGTTGGAGGGCTTAGCCGGAAAGCTGTGAAAACAATTCAATATAAATTATTCATAGGCAAGCTTGCGTACACAAAATTAAAGGATAATATTATAACAGTATCAAACAAGCTATCGTTTCCGTACGTTTCCACTATTTCTTTCTTTAATCATTCTAAAAACTTCCAAATGTTCGATCGATGTATTAGGTTGTCTCAAAAGTTTCTTTCGTTTCATTAATAAATAATACATGCACAATATTTTATGTTTTATGTTACATTACTGAATTGTAGACGATTCATTTTTCTCCATTACTGTTACAACATGAATATCTACGAAATTAGATTGTCTATTTATACAAACACCACCACATAAAATAATTGAGTGCAACTCGCGAAAGAAACTTTCGGGCCAACCTAATATGTATTTTCTTCTAATCGAACATATTTAAGATACGAAACAGAAAGAAATAGTCATGCTGTAAATAAACAGTGTCTTGTTCGTATCTGATGAATCATCAACGCGTACTCACTTGACCGACTCGACGCCCATCCGTTCCAAAACCTCTGTCGCGTCCTCCACCAAACTTTCGTATTTGCTAACAAGATTGTAATTAACTAGGCAGGGCTGGCACAACTCGTATATCGGGTTCCAGTGCTCGTTTCGTGTTTCGTTGGACGAATCGTCCGTGATGAACTCGACGAACTCCCTAAACGTCACGTCATCGCCTCTCTTCAAGGACTCCTCGGTCGCGTTCCGTCTGCACCTCTGTCAAGAAAATGCGATTAACATTTAATCTTAGAAACGCGTAGATCGTTTACGGAGATCCCACGAAATTACATTAAGGTACGAACCTTCCAAATCCTCAACCTGATGTCTATTACAATGTATCTATGTACACGCGTAACCTAAGTCTCCAACCCGATGGACATTGGTTTATACGAACTTTAGTAGCCATCGCGCGTAATCTGTTAGAATAATAATAATAATAATAATAATTTAGACTTTCTTCAGAAGACCAGGTCGAGAACCTAGAAGGTCAGTGATTAATTTCTACAACAGAATTAATTTCTACAAGCAAGTCGACTAGACAAAAGTTACCTAGTCAATGTCTAATCGACGAAACATGTCTACGTTTCTCCTGAACCGATGAAGTGAGACTATTTCTAGTTGCCTACGGAATACACGTGGAAATGGAACGGTACCTTGATAATCTTCTTCCCGAAACGCGTCTGAAAATACTTGGAGCTCTTCTCGTGTTTCGCTTCCAGCTTATTCCTATAGGCCGACAAGAGTCGTTCCAACGGGTGTCTGACGACTATCAGCTTGTCGTAAGTCGCCAGCATTCGTTCGATCTCGGGCAGCGTATAATTGCTCAACCTTTTAAAAGTACCCGGCGAGTGTGCTTGATTGGCTGGTATCTCCAATGGATCGCTGCCTGGCCACTTGCCCGTGGCCACCATCAAGACTCGTTTCCAGTTCGTACAGGCAACCTGGTGAACACATTCAAGTACAGACTTTTTTATTTTTAGTTACGGGAGGAAAGTCTGCTGAAGACCTCCTCGATCTTTTGAGAAAGGTGGATCCAATATGGCCGACATGCATATTCAACAATTATTAGATTTTCATGAAACTTGGTATTTATGGCTTATTTGAGCCGAAAACTTCGAATCTGATATCAGAATTGCAAAATTCAAAACGTCGGATCCAATATGGCGGACATGCACATTAAAAAGTTATTAGATTTTCATGAAACTTGGTATTTATGACTTATTTGAGCCGAAAACTTTGAATCTGATATCAGAATTGCCAGATTCAAAACGTCGGATCCAATATGGCCGACATGTAACTTCGTATTTTTTCTAATATGCAGGATATAACAGATTTAACAGGTTTTGTATACAGAAATCGTAAAGATGAAGAATAGATCAATAGTTGTAGCAAGATATACAATGGACGATCGAATTATTACGAACACGTCGAAACGCCGCGCTCAAATGTCGGTATAAATACATTTCTTTGAAATACGAAGGCTTTAAAATCCTGATAATATGTTGTTGAAAATAGAACGATAGATATCATTATAATTGCGCGTTCATTATACGCGTATCATTACAGTAATGTCTCGTTAGACACACGTCCACGATAAATGCACAGAAACCGGCCCCACCACTGATGGATATACCCCTTGAGGGGTCTAGGAGTTTGATCGCCGAGTTTCGTATATTCTTTGACGTTACATATTTCGTATATTCTTCAATGAATACACGATGTCCACGTTAATCGCACAAGGTCGCTCCCGAGCATGTGCGTCTAACGAGATATCACTGTATATTTAACCGTTCGCTCATTGTATGCTAACCAAGCAAGCATGCCCATGATAAACCAAGTTCACTCTACCGACACAAAGTCCCTACTTCCTTCTTCATCAACCTAATCAGTGAAGCAATTTGTAATCCTGAATTATTTAACGATTTCTACATAAAAAGTGTCAATAAATTACGACGTTATTCCAACCTTAGGAACGTAGCAGTAGAGTAACTCGTGCTGTTCGTCAACGAGGACGTTTCTAAACGATTCCGGGTCAGAGACTTCGTTCACGGACTCGCCGTCGCCGAGAATCTCCTCGCAATTGTACTGCAGCCTCTCCTGTCGCTCCACCAAAGCCGATCTTGTAAGAGCATTCGGCCCCGTCCAGGAATACAGAAAATTTTCCGTATCGACGGACCCTTTTCTCTCGTCCTTCGTCGAAGTACGTTCTCCCGCCACGCTCGCGTTCGCCATCGAACACGTAACGTTCAAGATAAGCAGAACTGCACCCCAAACACGGCATCCTGTCATCGTCCGTCCAGTCCACCCGGGACATCGAACTACTTTCTTGATCGATAGTAGTTGTAGATGATTGGCGCCTGTGAAATCGAGCAGAACTGACTCGAAAAATTGTTACGCATACGGTCCAGGCGCGCAGGTTTACGTATACGTGTATATACAGTGCCGGGGTTAGCGATATCGGCGCCCTAGGATTATCGTGGAAGGGTTACAATTTTTCAGAAAAAAGGACGAGGTGATTGTAGCAAATGATGAATCTGTAGTTACAGTGTAATAAGTAGACTGCGGATCTTTATGCATTTAAAAGAAATTTGAATGTGGAAGAAAGTACAAAATGCAAACACTTTGCAAGAATATAAAAAAGATTGATAGTTAAGTTCATGTTGAAGGGGTCCTCCTTTACGCTTGGCGAGCGAGCAGTGTAATATGGTCCTAACCGAGATATGTATTCATTTATTTAAAGTGCGTCACTTATTATACAAAGTTATTACATAACTGCTTACTCATTACTACCTTATTTCCATTCTTCTTATCGTCTTTCATGACTCCTGCATTGTTTTGACCCTTTGCACTCGAGGCCTTTTTTTTCTAGTATCTACCAGCAACTCGAGATGCTTTCTTAGCATTCGACAGGGTGTCCCAAAAATGTTGTAACACCTTGAAAGAGGTGGTTCGGGAGGCGATTTGAAACAACTTTTTCCTTAGCGAAAATGTTGTCCGAGGCTTCGTTGAGGAGATAGTAACGGAAAACACTGACCAATCAGAGCGCGAGTATGCCGATGGAGCGCTCGCGGTAGCGTATGAGCGCGGCCGCTTAGCGCGTAGCGCATCGAAATACACGGGCACGCATACATCGAATTATACGGGTACAATATCCAATTATTTTTACATACAAACTTTTATGTAAAACTGCTATATTATTCTAAAATAATGATCCTTATTAATTTTGAAAAAAATTGATATGCAGTAAAATAAATAAATAAAAAAAATATAAACATAAGAAGAATAAATACAACAGAATACATTTTTTAGTGTAATTTGTAAAACTTTATTTACTAGTTAAAATAAATATTCAAGTAACGGATAACAATAGATAATTCGATGTATGCGTACTCGTGTATTTCAATGCACGTGTATGTACCTGGATATCTGTGTATTTAGATATCCGGATGTCAGCGTATTTCGACACTCGAGTACCCGTGCCTTAAAAATACCCGTGTTCTTAATCCCTTAATACACGGTACACGTGTTCCATATACCCGTGTATTTTAATACCCGTTCAAAACCGTGATCTCTAGTTAATACTGTTTGCAGTATCTCTTACTTCTCATCTATCATCTATCTCATCTTCTCACTCTAGCTCGGGTACCTCGGGGTTGCTAAGCCCGTACTGTAGCTACAATCAAACATAGAACATAGCTACAGGCCCTGAGGGCATTACTATTGTCTCAGCCATACTCTTCTGTCGACGGTTTTTTTTCCTCCGACCTCTTCCTCTTTCGCTGTCTTTTTCTACGCTCGACGCTCGACCCGAGCCAAATGTAAACACAGACAAACGCAATGTTTATTTTACTGTATTTCTTTTTACGTAGCGAACACCGTATGGTAGATTTGCGTCTCCCTCTTGCGAAGCTCGAACTAAACTCGAAAGATTCCTCGACGTAATATCGATCGTTACGAAGCTTCGATCGGTTAGTTTCGTTGTAATACGAGCGACCGAGAGAGGTCTTTCAATTAAACGTTATTGATGTTAATTCGCTAGTTGTTGCGTTCGAGATACACCAATTCACGGGTATGTATGAAATTGAAGCCTTTGCACTCGAGGCCTTTTTTTCTGGTATCTAGCAGATACTGTCTACCAGCAACTCGAGATGTTTCTTAGCGTTCTATTGCCATGAATTCTAACCTATCATTTATATCGACACTTGGAGCACCAATGAAATTAAACCTAAGGAAACATTAGGTATTGTAGATTTGCTGCGTGAAAGCTAATGGCGATTGAGAGTCACCTCTCGAGTGTAAAGGGTTAATTGTTCGAACGTGAACGAGCGCATTATCGTTAAAGGGAAGAAGTGGAGCGACTCGGTTTCGTGCTCTGTTCTAATTCTTCGTCCTTTAAAGCCGGTTTTAAACGAGCCGGTTGTCCGAGAGTATACGGTACGTTTGACATCTAGATATCTAGAGCAAGCTTTTTCTTTTATGGACGCGTGACGGACGATGCCTGCTTCCTGGTCGATTCGAAACGAGATCGGGAATATCGATTAATATTCGAAAGAAAAGTTCGAACGTTTAATTTAGAACGCGGCAACCGTCGATGATTTTCGAGAGAAATCGATATCGTCGCGACTGTCGCGATAACGACACCAGTTGCGAAACTGATAATTTCGTATTAGAATCGTAAAGTAAACATTCCTCTGACACAGCGCGAACGATATTATGCATACTACGTCTATTATTAGGAAATATAGAATCTGAGAAGAAATTATACAATACAACGTGAAAGTTGCGTGTTGCGATAGCAAGAGGAGGGAGTGACTTTGCAATCCTACCAAATTCTTTATTCTATTTCGTAATTACGTTTGCAACATCCTAGTTGGGCATATTAGAGCAGTGCTTAGCGTATCCGACTACCACGCTGAGAACCTGGGTTCGAATCCTGATCGGTCCCGCCAGGTTTTTTATGATTACATTAGAGCTCAATAAAAATATGGAAATACGAAAAATAAGTATGGAAAAAGTCTAAGGGCGAGAAATAAGGAATAAGGACAGTCTAAATAGCAAATAAGGGTGCGAATAAAGGTCCAGTAGCTCCCCCCAGCTACCACAATAAACTCCAACAAACAAATAAATTTATTCGAATAACGATCTTTCTGGCGTAAGCAAAACGCCATAGATTACGCGTCGACTAATATATCGCATAATCGATCGATAGAATTTACGCGAGACCTTGTCCGCGCGTTAACAAGGGAAACCAGTCAGTAACGCATTATCGCGTCTAAGGCACTCCTATAAAGAACAGTAAACAATCTCTATTCATCCGTATCAGTTAACTATTACCATTAGATTCACCCACGATTATTTATGGTTTCATTTTCAAACGAAATTCCACGTAGAGTATAAATATCTATAAATATAAGTTTGAAGCGCAAGCATTGCGCCAAAACGGGTATAAGTAACGTTGAAAATTCAACGCGTGCGCGAACATCATAGCATCCGTACTTTAAACGTTGTCGATAAAATTTAATATTTCGTCGAGCATCGCGATTAGAAATTTATTATTATTATTATTAATTTATTATATATATACAGTCGGTGTAAGAAGTATTCGTATAGCAACCGATTTAAAATAAAATGAAAAATAAAATTAATAAGAAAGGAAATACGTAAGAGGTTAACATTAAAAATAATAAACTTTAATTTAAACACAAATTCTACTTTAAAAATATGTAGGAATGTTGATTATTTATTTTTTCCCATAAGATTTATTAATCAAATAAATGTATGGAGTTTTATTTTGAATTGGTTCCTGTGCGAATATTTATTACACCGACTGTATCTAATTTCAACGATTTACTATTATTTTAATATTTAAATATGAATCATGGTACTCTGTTATACTTTTCGTTCCGTGTATCCGATAGTAGTCCGAAATAGTACGCTCGCTATTTTTATTATGAATTGGTTATTAATTATTTCTTCCCGTAAAATTGATTAATAAAATAAATGTATGGAGTTTTATTTTGAATTGGTTACTGTACGAATATTTATTACACCGACTGTATATATAATTTCAACCATTTACTATTATTTGACGCATTCCGAAATAGTACGCTTGCTATTTTCTATAATTTCGTTTCCATTTTGGCTATTCGATTCGAAGAATGACCACTCACCTGTTGCGAGGAGAACGATGGACCGCAAGTTGTCAAAATGTACGTGGCATGGCCGGCCGTCTCGTGGACCTCCAGGCACGCGTCGTCGAACGCTTCTTCGCCGGTCCCCGAAAATTCATCGAGATCGTTTGAGGTCGAAGTAACGTCTCGAGACAAAACTGGAAATTCTCGATCCGAAATGGTCCCTCGAGAGAATCGACCTCGTTCGAGGTGGCATCGGATTTGTTCGTTCCGTCGGCTACATTTGGCGACGCGCGAGGTCCGCCACGGAAGAACACTCGAAACACTCGAAACGTCGGACGATTTCAAGGCGAACGCGACGATGTAAAACGAGTCGAACGGACGAACGGTGCGCAACAGGTAAAGTCGGCTGTTGCCTTGTCCCGAGGACCTTCTGACATAAGACTGGAACGTGGTGGCAGGTTGTGGAAGTGAAAGAAGCTGCGCGCGCCTCCGACACTTCATCTTCGTTTCTTCGCCAGTCGTCGATCTTTTTTCCTCTCCCGTTATCCATCCGCTTTCGAGCCGTCCGCAGAAAATTCGAAGGTCGCGACGAATTCAGGTACAATCGCACCTGATAGTAACCTTATTAATCGGGCTGATACCAAAACGTTCCTCGCGATATCCTGTGTCCTGTATTTATTCAAGTGTTTCGACTATGGAGTTATCGATAGACTCCGGATCTATATGCATTTACATTAATTTGAATATCCAAGAATATAAAAATGACTGAAAGTAAAGTTCGTGTTATAATATTTGCTGAATAAAATAAATTCCGATTTAGATTCAATTTTCGTAGCCACGTTCGAGAAGATTTTATTTTGCATAAGGATCCGCAGTCTAGGTATTACAATGACCCTTTCTTCTTAATTAGACGTTTATCCGTATCGCTCTTAGATAAGGAAACGTCGCGAAGTGCGCATCGAATGTTTTTCTATTTTACACTAACAAAATCACTATAATAGAGAATTCACAGTAATAAACACACAATACATTTAGATTCAACGACTGCCTGTAGTCGACTAACATTGATGTCTTATAATTTTGTCCTACGGAAGAAACCAAACATTACAATTCTTGGAAATGCTTCGACGCTTTGTGTTTGTTTACATTGTGATGGAGCTCGCGAATAGTACTCTTTCATCCCATCATCATTTACGCTACGTATACAAGCATATACAGTGACTCCCAGATATATTCGGACACTAGTGTATGGTTAGCTTTATGACTCGATATCGTAGTTATTAAAAAAGCAATCGTCGTCGTTACTTTTTCCAATATCAAGTCATTTATTAACGTTATTAAAGACGTATACATTAATCCAAAAAGTTACATAAATTACATAATAGCAATAAACAAACGAAAGAATATCAGATTTTCGGGTACGATAAAACACGGAGAAGGCATTGTAACGGTGTGGGGATGCATTTCGACTTTCGGCGCTGGCCATTTAGTTTTTATCGATGGCATCATGGTTAAGAATGCTTATTTGAATCTTTTAAAAAGCAATTTAAAACAAAGTGCAGAAAAAATGGGGATCGTTGAAGATTTAACATTTTACCAGGATAATGATTCTAAACGTAAGTCGCGCATTGTCTAAGAATTTTTATTGTATAATTGGCCCAAAGTCCATCCAAAGTTCATCCACCTCCGCAATCACCAGACCTCAACCCTATAGAAAACTTATGGGATAAGTTGAACCAACGGATTCGCAAGACACCCATTCGTTCCAAAGAACAACTTAAAATTAGGCTTCAAGAAGAACGGGCATCCATTTCGACAGAATATTTAAAAAAACTAATTTCTAATATGCCGAATCGAACGAGACATATCATAAAAGTAAAGGGATTTGCAACAAAATATTAATGTGGAACATACAATGTTTAATTTTAATTAATAAATGTTATTTCTCGTAGTGTCCGAATATTTTTGTGACCCGAAAATGCGGTATTCTTTCGTTTATTTATTGTTATTATGTAATTTATGTAAATATTTGGATGAATGCATATATCTTTAATAATGTTAATAAATGATTGATTATTGGAAAAAGTAACGAAGACGATTGCTTTTTTAATAACTACGATATTAAGCCGTAACGCTAACCATACACTGGTGTCCGAATGTTTCTGGGAGTCACTGTACATATTTTTTTTTTTTTTTTTTTAAATGGGGTTTCGTATAATTATGTCCATCAGTGTATCTCGACGCCTTTCGTCGAACCTTTCGATCAGAATTCGACTCGAATTATTCGAGCCATAGAATTCATTTAACGCGTTGACCTCTAGCTACGAGATAACGTATAATATATCTGTGCAGCTACGACGAAACTCGTATTATATCCACGCATATGCAAATAGATAGCGTCAGGAGCAGAAAAAAATCAAGGTTAACTCGCCCGAAAATGTTATAAACAGAAAATACGATAATATCATCTTTAAGGGGTTAGTCGCAGTCAGGAAAATGGAAACGTACAGCTTCTTGTGTGTGTGTGTGTGTTTTTAAGCTGTTAAATAATAATTTTAATTAATGAAATGTAAATATATTACAAAGTATGTCTTGAAGAACTATAAAAGAATTTTTGTTTTAAAGAAAAGGTTAATTCATTTCGTAGTAACGGGCGATGGTGTGGGTGGCCAGTTGGTTTGCGGCGAGCGAGATTTCTTCAAACTGGTGCACCTGAAAACAAAACTAAAGGTAGATTTAGAAAATATATTAGACTAACGGGTCCCTGATCGAAGGATTATCTATTTTCTCGTATACTTTTCTTTTTATCCTGCATTGAATCGCTTAATTTTAGTGAAAAAATTGAAAATCAACTTCAAATGTACGCCATCTTGTTTTAAATTAATTTTTACCAAAATCCTTCGTTCAGGGGCCCGCTAGACTAATCTATTTTCGAAATCTACCTTTGTTTTTGTTTTCCGGTAACCTGCGCTTTTAAATCATCGTCTACGTCATCGGCTCTTACGACGATATAAATTAAACGTTTCTTAAAACAAACAAATGTTTTTTTAGTTCTCTAAAACACGCTTTACAATATACTTAATTGTTACTTATGCAAATTATTATTTAGTAACTAAAAAACAAGGAACTTCCCGATTTCCGATTACAGCGCCATCTATCGCGAATGAAAAACAATGTTTGAAACTAGTGTTTTGAAAAGGTCTCATAGCCAGCGTTCACAGTGCATGATAAAAAATGAGGTGTTCCATTCAAAAAATCATGTTGACCTTGACGTGACTTTGACCGGTCCTTTGAAGGTCAAACGGACACGATCGTTCAATAGAATTTTTGAAACCCTAAAACATTTCTCTAAACCACTTTTCTCACAAATGTTCCATTTTGGAAATATTTGACTGCTTCCATACTTTTGGAGCACCCTGTATGTGTATATACATGTGTTATACAAATGTAATAATAGTAATATATATGTATATATATTATTTCCGTTTAGTTATTCGCTCATAAATTTATATTCTCCCATCTAGATTGCGTTATTAAGTTAAGTTTCCTTAAAAAAAAAAAAAAAACTAAAAAACTACTGGACCGAATTGGAACGAAATCTAATCAACTCTAAGTTAGATCGATACACATCGATTGCATCATCGATCATTTTGATCTCGCTAGTAGTTTTTTTAGAAAACGTTAATGAAAAATTTGTTTACATACGTACGTACATACGCACACACACGCACGCACACACACACACACGAACAATTTGTTAAAAATAGGCTAAAATTACTCCAATGACCTTGAAACATGGAGATCCGCTAAAAAATCGATTCTTCATTTTAGAGGCAAATACAATAACTTCCCTATAAATCGGAAAAGTTAAAAATCACAAAGGAATGTCGTTTTTCCTCTTCCTGACTGCGACTAACCCCTTAAAGGGGTTGTAGCATCTAGATAATCTATATAATTTTGTTTTATATAAAAATATTCATAAATGAATGAACGGCAGCTGTTTGAAGTTGGCTTCTCGAAAATGCGCCGTGCAACGCACAGATCACTCTAATTATTTGAAATCAAAAATCCACCAATTTTTCGTTAAAATATAGTAACACGCTTTGCATCAACCTAGATTAAAAAAAAAAAAAAAAAAAAAAAAACATTTCAAATTTAAAATTTCACGCCACGTTAAAAGAATCTTGTCAATAAAAAAAATGATTAAAACATTGTTTATTTCAATTTCTATAAAAACCTTTAGGTTGATGCAAAGGAGAATAGTTTGGGGAATATTTTGTGCCAAGTTTCATAGCAATCGGCTGAGAAATCTCTAAGCTACATTGCACGGCACGCGAAATTTGGTGTTTTGAGAAAAATGCGTTTAATGTTTCAGGATCTAAAAATAGTCCTTCGTGTACCGTTTGGAGCGCATCACTTTGATGACTCTGTAGGTACACTTAGACTTCGAAGTTTTACCTGAAATGGTCGGACCACAGTCTCCAGATGGTAAACTAATTTTCTAAACAAAAAAAAAAGAAAAGGTCAAAATTTGAATTTTACTTGACCCTCCCCCCTTAATACAAAAATTCACCGAGGACAACTTGGACGATTTTGTGTTTAAATATTTTAATAAATCCATGCACGCGCGCGACTGGTCAACGATGCGTTCCAAGCCAATGACGAAACCCCGCGCGCTTAATTAGCGAAGGACCGTCGACGCTAAAAGTTCGTCTGTTTTTGCGCACGCTTCCCACCTGTGCGAGAGCCATCTTATCTTAACGCTGTCACCGGATGGCTCCCGTGATATTCAGAGAAAGTGTCTTACCTTCGATTTCCATTCGCGGCGTTCACTTGCCGCGGTAGCTTTCGTCTTTAGTCTCGCTTTAGCCTTCGTTGGCTGCTCGTCCACCGAAAACAACAGTCCGTCGCGGAAATACTGGACGATCGAATTAGCGTCAAATGGTCGGAATTAGGGTGGCGAAGGTGAAACGAGCCCTAAGCGTTTCCTGTCAAGATCCAACGGAACTTTGAACGACAGATGACCACGGTATCGCGTTCGCAACGTGATACGATACGAAAGCTTTCCAAGCGCTTAGGTAACGTCGCAACTTTCACTCATTGCATTTCGACGAAAAAATATCTTTCGATACGCGAAATAATTCGACATACAATACGTGTACAGATATTCGACGGTGATAATTACACGCGCGATAACAGCGTCGGATTAGTTCGCGATTAATTTTGTAATAACCGCTCGCAATGATCACGCATGTAAGAAATCGCGAATCGGTTCTTTCTTCTGAAATATGTAATCTTTCGGAGCAACGTGATCGTGTCCGAGTATTCGGTAGGTACAATTATCGATTAATCATCGATCCATCGATCGTGACATTTTTACGTTCGCCTATATTT